GACGTCTAATTTTAACTTGAGCTACAGCCAACAGAGCCCTGATGAGATGCAGCAGATGGACAAGATATGCTCTACTCCCCTGGCGACCATATTGATTTAAATTCAGATAGAGCAGGGAGGACGCTGAAGTGCTTTCTGAAAGATTCCCAAAGAATCGGTGTATCTGAAATGAGGCACAAACAGCATTAGAGGTGGAAGATGTTAAATAAACCTCCTCTGGGCCAGGTGGGCTATGATGCAGCAAAATGTAAAGTAGTTCAGGACCTTGAGAAATCAGTCACATAGGAGCACGTCCAATAAACATCAACAAATGAAATATGGATTACTACCTGTGCGGAATCCACCCATATCGTAATCAGTGTTGGGAAATAACTATGCATGTAGTGGAAATGATACCGTATTGTGAATATTAATTTTGAGTAAACTTATTCCAGTATAGTCAGGCACGTCAACAGAAATTAAGGGGCCTGGGGCAAGAAGCCTCATGTGGACCCCCCGTTATATAAATTAATAAGACAAGGGTGTAATTCTGGTCACCTTAAAACCCTGAGGTCCGGGACAACAGACCCCTTTGGCCCCCTTCTCAAATTAGACCTAAGTGATGCATGACAAACAGGGCAACAGAAATAAAGCAGTTTGTAATATATATAAATGTAGTATTTTTTTTTTTTTTACTATAATATAATGCAAATTGTGTAAAAGTATTTCAAGTATTCAGAGGCCCCATCCACACTAGTACATATTCGAGTCGTTTTTGTTGCAGATGCAGTGTTCATCCACACTAATCCGATGGAAAATGGCTCCAGAGATGGAACGATCTGGTACTGCCAGCTCCCATGAATTCATATGAGTATGGATCTGATCCGGCACTGTGTGGATGTCTAAAAACATTGATACACTGACGTAGGAGCTCTAGTTGCCGTCCTTATTGGACCACGTCACTGTGATTTGCGCCTTCCTGATTCGCTGTTTAAACAAAACAGTTTAAACAAACCATAGAACTGAAAACAGCGGAGTTAGAACTACTTGCACAGAACAGACTCACCATTAGCAGAATCGTGTCCTTTTTAAGTTTGACAAAAGCTGTTTTTTGAATGCTTAGTTTATGTAAATAATCCATGTGGTTTTAAGTTTCGTTTCTGTAAAACATAAACAAATATGTGCAAAGCTGTGAGGATAGGGAAGGCTTGTGGACACAGAAACGATGTGTCTGGACACAGATCGTTTCCGATATGGTGATACAGTGATTTGTTTCAGTGTAAACGTAACCAGAGTACAGTACTCTGACTGGACCATGTAATCAAATATGTTACAAAATACATATTAATTCAGGTATTCAGTATTCTGTAACTAATAAACAAATAATTTATCTGGGAATCTGTGACTATTGAGAGTTAGAACAAAAGTAGAAATTTGGAGCAATGTCCCAGATTCCCAGCAAAGCTGAAGTCGGCACAATAGCTGTTAAACGCACAAACGCACACCTCATCAGGCCACAGTATTGATCTGAAGATAGTCTGCCCAGTGAGGTGATGAACGCCAGAGTAGATTATAGGACAATGACAATTCCACAAGAGCAATTAACAGAACAGCTAAACACTATTATGGCTAAACATAGACTAAATGTTGGAGAATTACATAACAACAAATAAATGAACAAAACTTCTTCTTATTTATTTAAATTAAAGCGTTTTTTCAATAATATTAAACACCAGTTAAGATAGAAGAGATTATAAAGCAGTTAAGTCTCTTTTTAAGTGGTCACATTAGAGGAGCCTAAATGTATTTGTAGACAAGTAATAGAAGCCTTATGGCGCCACTTGTGAATAGCTCTTAGTTTGGGACTCATTAAAAATGTATGCAGCCTCTTGTATTACAAAACACATGTGTTTAAGGAGCATTTACAAAACAAACCCATCCTCACAGCTTTAAAAATAAGTTACAACAGAAACATTTCAATAGGTTGGACACAAATGATGCTTGTTGTGGTATAGTTTTAGTCAACTAAAAAGCCTCTTCCTTTTCTCCTTTAGTTAATAATAATGGCCAGTTTGCAATCGCTACGTTCTTGCAAAACATATTATTTCACAAGATTTTACTACCCACTTTTAACTCATTGCCAAACAAAACATTCAACTGACTAAATCTGATAAATACTTATACCTCCTTACAGATAAACTACCATAATGAACCCAGTTTGTTCTGAATCAGTCTGTAGAATGGAGATTAATAGAGATTAACACTTAATCCAAATATTTAACTCAACAACGTAATGAACGTAATAATAACGTACTGAAGTTAGGGGAAAAAAAGATTATATGTGAAGTGTGGCTCCTCCCACGATAACCACTACACACCAATCAAATGTTTAGTTTTTTGTGAAATACACAAGAGAACAACTTTAGATCCTTTGCCTAAACTGTGAGTGAATATTTAAAGAGCCAGGGGGCTCAAACCTTGTGTGGTTTATTTTACTTGACAGCTCAATATACCTGACTTCACCCTAGATTTAGCATAATACCCCCTCTTGAGTTATATTATGTTATAAGTTATATTATGTTATAAGTGTTATATAATACCAATTTTTTTCTTCTTTGTAAACATGTATAATATTGTTTGTTTGCATGTACATTTGTTTGCTTGATTATTGTATTTTTATAAATTCTGTTCAAGATTCTGTTCAACTTATATTATTACTTGAATATATGTGTGCATTTTCCTGTTAATAATTATATTAGAGAAATGTTTTATTTTACCAGACAAAACATTAAAAACTAATTAGTTTGGAGGGCATGCATTGTCATCAATGAGTACTTAAAAAAAAAAACATAATTTCTTCTCGAGAGACTTGACCTGTTTCTGAATTTTACAAAATCACAAAGAAAAGCTTCACCGTTGTTTCATGAGGTGTGTTTGGTGGTGCCTCATCAAGATTTTACATCAATCATGTGTCTGTGTTGTACATCACCCGGGACCTTTTCTGTTTGATTTTAAGCATCTGTGTTGATATAAAAGTAGATAAATGAAATAAAGAAAGAGGAGGGGGGGAATGCCTCTGAGTGCCAGGCCGTCATGTTTCATCAAAACACATTGGACTGCATTTCCTATCAAAGTTTGGGCTTTGTAGTCCTTTGTCATGGGTCCATGGAGATGTCTTGTTGATTGCTTTGTCTGGAATGTTTCACAGTATAGTATTAAACGTTCTACCTTTCTTTCTAAACCAGACCAAGGTACAAGTCAGATCTGTGGCGAGGCAATCCCGCTCACAGTCACAATGTCTGTTTTTCTAGGTATTTTTGAGCTATAATATCACTTGTAATTTAATAAATGAAAGGTAGAGCTGTTTCTGTGGAACATTCCAGGCAGAGCAGTGGCATATCCATAGAAACAAGCAGGTGATGGGCCCCCAACCAGAAAGTTTCATAGTGTACCTTTAACGCTTCAATTTGTAGGTTATACCCTACCTTAGGCTCATAGAGACCCACGGTGATCAATTATTAATACATTTTCCTGTCTTGTCCAAAATACACGTGTATGCATTGCACCACCATCCACAGAGAAAAATCGGTGTGGCAGGGATTTGTGACACAATATGGGATATATATATATATATATGTGTGTGTGTGTGTGTGTGTGTGTGTGTGTGTGCGTGCGTGTATATATATATATATATGCTTGCTTGCTTTGATCTGGCTGTCATTTTACTCATGATGCATTATATAGGTCAAGATGCATCATGAGTAAAATGACAGCCAGATCAAAGCAAGTCCTAAAAGCCCTATTCATCCATTATCCTTCCTGATTTTTCATCTCCACTGGCCTAATTAGACAGAACTCAAATAAAATATGTTATTCTCTATCTTTGAGTAATCCTTTATTTTTAGTCTGTCTGCATCCCCAAAGCTCAAAATGCTCTGTTTGTGGTAGTTTTCATGTTACCAGTTACTTTTTACATTTTGTAGGGATTGGAAATTCTAGCACTGAAATGATCTAAATGATTCTTGTGAAAGTGTGTGGAGTTTAAAAACATAGTGGAGCATTCCCTGTATTACCACATTATATCACATGGTAAAACAGTGTTTTCTGTTTGAGAGAAAAACACGCAGGATTATTTAAACATGTATAAATGAAACAAACCAGGTATGTTTGTGATGAGCAAACAACATTATAAGATCAGAAAACAGCGTAATATGGGCACTTTAAATACTGTAAAATACCCTAAATCAAACACACGAGTTGAACTTTTTAGCATGCCTTTTTCTATATTTCACGATAGCGATATGTATGATCCTAAAAATAACTGAACACCAGCTGGCACGTCCCACCACAGCAGTCTGAGCCACAGGGACCGTCCCCATGTGCTTCTGATGCTGTTTTCAGAACATAAATACTCTCTTATTTGTTTTGCATACGCACTTTTGATCTATTGGAGGCACCGGGGCTATTTCATTTCACTGCAAATCACAACCAATGAAGCTATGGAATTTCAATGAAAAAGACCGAGCAAAATTGAATAGGCAGTGCAGACTCCTGAGCTATTTTATGAGAAATAAAAATAGATTGCCTTAGTTCACAGGCTTTTCATTGTTCTGTTTTGTAAGAACCTAAAAATATTGTGTACAGGTTCACAAATAGTCCTCATTAGCCTGAAATGGGACTTCCTTATTTATTTGGGCTATTGCCTCAAAGCAAAACAATACAATACTTATAGATCGTGTAGTGAATTTTAACGCCCCTATTATAGTTTATACACTTCTCCCACCTAAATATTGATCTCCAATGGTCAGCGAGGACAAAGGAATAAGTCACGTCCAAGCAGTCACATGCAGAAATCTACCCAGCAACAAGAGTACACAGAACACAGATTCACACTGTTTAAGGAGCGTTTCCAGGGTTTGTGAAATCACAGACTGAGAAAAAAGCCAAACAAAGACAAAGCAATGCAGCAATATGCTCTCATACATTCATGTATTCAAACAAAGCGTAGCGACGGGGAGTACCTGGTGGTGGTAACTGCCTTCTCTACGATATGAAGTCTAAACAGAGAGAGGGACAAAGGGGAAAGGTCAAAGGAAAGAACAAGACAGTAGACAACAGACAATAGGGCTATGTTAAATGAAAGAGTGGGCTTTGTATTGTTATAAGAAAATAAATTTTACTTTTTCATTGAAGCAATAGCTGAAAGATTGCTAGATTGCTGTAGATTTTTGAAAGGAGAAAAGATATGTGCAGTTCTCTTTCACATCAGTCTAATCACTGTCACAGCCCACAGAGTAGAGCTGCTAAAGTTGACTGTGTCATATTAAGTTTATATTGATTTAATGAAAGGTGCACCTTCATTTCTATGGAGATGTTATAGCTTTTCCTGTAATCTTTCACAATATGGCACTAAACCTCTGTCTCCATGGAGACAACTTAAAGGCAATACTGTGGAACATTTTAAGCAAAAGCATATACATAGTGAAAAACAAGTTATATAGTGTGCCTTAAATGAAGATATAGATTAGAATGAATATTAAAAGTTTGACATATCAAACCCTGTGTTCAACACAGACATGAGTCTCAGATCTGTATCTAGACAGCCACAAATGGCACTTTAAATAGCTAGACCATTTTGAATAAGCTCAGCAGGAATGCTACCTGCTGTTAGTGCTAGCGCTGGGCTTGTGGGCAGCCTGTAATCAAACACAGATATATTCCTCATACATGACTAAAGAACCAGATTGCTATGTCTGGTTTAAAAATAAAGTGTTGGATAATAACATTAAATATTTTACACAAAGTTGGCTTCAAAACGAAGTCTGCGTGACCTTAAGTAAACTGGAGGAGGTCTGCAGTCCTGAGTGTACCTCAGACTGTGGAGAGGAAACTTAATCAGCTCTCCAATCTAAGCCTGCTCTGGCGCAACAAAACACTTGTGGACTAACAAGTTTGGTCTGGGTCCAGTTTGTTTACTTCTTCACTCAAACACAGACAACTCTTCAAATAAATCCCATTAACTTGACAAGAATGATGTGATTAACTGGTGACTCACATTTGTAAGATTTTGCCTTAGGTTTGTTTTTGTTCTTCAACAAAGCCCACTTCCTTTTGGCTGATTGGTCTTTCTTATCACACATGATTAGCCTTGACCAGAGGCTACTGGACAGAGAGAGTGAAACCGCCACAGATGGCTCTCGGTTTAGTGACCGGAAGGACTGAACACAATCACTTTGAAATGTGATGTGCAACACCTTATGTAATATCGCTTCAATTTTCACACTAGATTTGATCCGGCGGCCATATCTATTTGAAACACTGGTGCGTGGAGTTTAGTAGACAGACAGACAGAAGAAGAAGGGAGGGGTGGAAGACATTTATGAGGCTTTGGTTTTAGGCTGTTACCTTAGAGCGGGACTTGAAGTTTCTGAATGGGCCTGTTTTAAAAATGACTCTGTTCCGTTTGCAAATGATGTAGGCCACCATCCCGATAACCACCATCAACAAGAAGAGAGGAGTGAGCACAGCCATGATCCAGAGGTCACTGGGCGGGGTCTTTACCACAGCTGCCCAAACACAAAAATATAATAATTAAGACTTTAAAAAATTATTTTCAAGAAATAATACTTCAGCAGTTGTATGTTTTTATATACAGCCTTCATTCTTGTGTTGATTCCAATGACACATATGCCTTCATACCTTTTTTAAAAAATGTTCAAATAAAATGAACTCTTAACCCTACGTCCTGTCATTTTCGACATATTTTACAACTTTTCTTGGCAAATTACTTCTTATTTGGTGTAAAACTATAACTTATTTTTACAAGAAGTATAATCATACCACATTAAGTCAAAATTAGAAAATCAGTCAAACCTGTCACGTTAAAGGTGTACTGTGTTACTTTGCGGTAGTGGGTCCATCACCTTCTTGTTTCTGTAGAAATGTCATTGATGTTGTCTGCCTGAGATGTTCCAAATTATGACATTAAACAGTTCTACCTTATATTTATTCAATTAGAGGTGGTTTTATAGCTCAGAAATACCTTGAAAAAAACAAGTACTCTGACATTCTGTGAGAGGGGTAACCTCTCCACAGAGCTGACCTGGTTTGGTCTCCATGAAGATAGAAAGGTTTAATACTATACTGTGAAACCATGTGATGGACCCTCCACCAGAAAAGTTACACAATGCACATTTAAGACAGTAAGTTAGGAGATGTATTTACCTTGCTGAATATGTCACATGGCTACAACATACAAGTGCCATAAGTAGTAGTTCTTTGCACAGTATTTAGGCCTGGGTACTGAGTGTCCCCTGGTTAAATGCAGAGTAGGTGGGTTTTGTGAGAACAGAGTGCTCCCTGCATGGACACACTATTGTTTTAGGTGTAAAGGGCTCTCATGGCTTTCTCTTCACAAAATTATAGATTCAGGAGGAAAAGAACAGATACAGAGAGAACACTGTGTTCTATTATGCAGGATCCATATTTACTTTCAATTTTCAGATAATTATCGTACATGTACTTGGGGTAATGCAAGAGTTGTAAGTCTTAAATGACTTATCTGTGTGAAGCTCTGTTAAGCTCTGTTATGAAGGGATTACAGGACATTTATTTCAAATCAATCAGATAATTAATCCTTGAAACTGTTTGGGTAAATATTTGATTGTCTCTGTTATTTTATTGTCCGGTTGTTTCAGTCGTTAATGTCAACAGGAGAGTCAGGTCATGTTAGTTTAAAATTTGCACAGATCTGGAAGAAATGTATTTACTTTATGATTTCAGCAATAAATGAATGTTTAAAGGGCCCATAATATGTATTATTGTATAATGTTGTTTCCTCATCAAAAACATACCTGGATTTGTGTTTAGTTTCACACCAGTTTAACAAACAAACCCTGCATATTCAGGCTGTATTCTTCTCTCCATAGTGTTTTTAAATTCCATACACCTTCACTAGAATCATTTGGATAATTTCATCCGTAGAATTGCCCATATCTACTGAACTAAATGTAAAAGGAGCTGTTAACTTGAAAACTACCACTATATGACAAGAGGATTTTGAGCTTTGGAGATGTAGACTAATAATAAAGCATTACTCAAACATGTGTGAATGATATAACAGAACTCCTAGTATGTTTTGAAGAGGCAACAGCATATTATATACGACATATTATATTATAACATGGCTTAAAGCTCACATGAATCAATCTGATATAATCTACGACCTTTAATGTTTTGTTCTGATAATGAAATTCAAACTCACGTTCAGCCTGGACTTGTACAAAGTAGCCCAGGGTCAGAGCCATGGTTTGAGAGTCCAGGCTGCTCAGGGTTTTGGCGGCAGTGGTCCCTGTGATGGGTGCTCCGTTGTGCTGGGCGTAGTAGGTCATCTCCGCTGGATTTTTAGGGCCAGGCAAACGACGAATGCTGACCATCTGGCGAGACACAAGACAAAAGTACCTTTTACAATCATGTACATTTTATATAATTTTGTATATAAAAGGAAATAAGACAAAAGACAAATAATTACTAGTTAGGCTTCAGCATATTTATAAAGTTCTTCTTAAATAGTTATTGCTAGAGTTGCTAAATTTGATCTTATTTGCTGAAAAATTGTCACTTTCAGTTAAAGGTACACTATCAAATATTCCACAATATGACATTAAACATTTACAGGTCAATGCAATCAATCACAAGTGGTTTTATCGCTCAAAAATACCTGGAAAAAAACAGGCATTCTGACAGTGAGTGGGGCTGTCTCTGCTCAGATCTGATCTGCAACTTGGCCTGATTTGGTCTTCATGATGATAGAAAGGTTTAGCGCTATACTACGAAACATTTCAGACAAATTAATAACATTTGAAGAAAAGCTGGTGGCAGACTCTCCACCAGAAACGTTACACAATGCACCTTTAAAGTAAAAGTGAAAGCTGGATTAAAGATGGATTAAAGGGACAGTTCAGAATTTTGGACATAGGGCCTCCTCGTTAGCCGATGTTGGAGACGCACTGAGACACTTTTTGAAAAATTCTATCCAGTCCTTGTGTTTGCAGAGGTTGTTGGTGCTAGGCTCGCGCATGTCTTACCCACTCCACAGAGCACCCGAAGCAAATCTATTATTACACCAGACTGTTGATGTAAATGTCTGTGTTGATAGAATAATGTTTGAAATAAAACTAACCTTGCATCGCATGAATCGTCGCATGTTGTGGAACTATTTTCTCATATATCAGTCCGCCGCTGCCAAACTTTCTATCAGGAAGTACAACTCGCTGCTGCTGCTCAGACATAAATCCTTCAAATGCAAGGCTGGTTTTACTTCTAAAATTATTCTATCGGCACAGACCTTCGTATCGACAGTCTGCCGTTATAATTGTTTTGCCTCTGGTGCTTTATGAAGTGGGTAAGACAGTTTTTAGTGACAGGCTAACTATGGCCATTGACATGCACTAACCTAGCACCAGCAACCCCTGTAAATACAAGGACTGGATGGAATATTTAAAAAAGTGTCTCCACAAGTCTCCAACACTCTAGTTCACTAGGAAATGAGGTTCTATGTCTAAAATTCCAAACTGTCCCTTTAAGTACCAGTGTAAAAGTGCCTATAGAGCCATATATCAGGACCTCACAGCTTGAAACTAAGATATATAGAATCCCATATTGCACCCAATTCAATCTCTTATCTCTTAATATGCTTTCGGTGTAGAAAGATAACGCAGAACCCAGTCTTTCCAATCAGGATTCAGCATCGTCTAGCTTACTCCTCGTACCGACTAGATAAGTACCCTCTGCCAAGACACTCAAGGATAACTGAGCCACTTGAAACCCCAATTTCCTCTTCATCATACATCAAACACATTTTTAATATGGTCAACACATCGCACCTTTTAATCAAGTTCAGTAATTTGATTTTGCCATAAAGAGAAGAGACATGTGTTATTAAAGGGCTGGATGGATCCTCTTCCCCCTTTAGCTCTATATGAGTATAAGCTACTTCCTCCTCCATCACCATGGCGATAAAAAGCACTCATCTGTGACTTCTCGTAAAACCTCGAGGCAGTGTTATGTGCATATCCCAGGAAGTTGTTGTCTTAATTTGAACAGTATATACAACAGGTGTGGAGGAAAAAAATACTAAATAACTAACACAGATGAAAGAATTTGAATTAATGGTAATGGAGATTAATGGTGCAATCTGTAACTTTTCTGGTAGAGGGTGCTCCATCTGCTTGTATCCATACCAATGTTGCTTTTTTTTTTTGGCTTGAATGTTCCACAATATGGCATTAAGCTTATGTGTAATGCATTTATACAGTTACGAGTGTCCGCTCAAAAATATATTGAAAAACATGCACTCTTCCTGTGAGTGGGATTGCCTCTCCACAGAGCTAACCAGTAATTTTGGTAGTGTCATCTGCTTGTGTCCATGGATATAGACAAGTTTAATGCCATATTGCGGAACATTCAAGGCAAACAATAACATCGGCATGGAAACAAGTAGATGGCAGTCCCTTTACCAGAAAAGTTACACAGTGCACCTTTCACTCTAAAAGTTTCCAAAGCAATTTCGAGTCCCAGACATGAGCCAGATATAATCAAGGGGAGCGACTAATGGCTGCACAATCTGCTGGTCTATTCAGTCAATTAATTAATAATCACTTCAATATAATGGAAATAGCAACAACTGCCGAAGCTAATTTCCGACTGGGGCTTTTGTGAATTTAAATGCCATCAGATGATAGGAAAAGCACAGACAAAGATAATTGGATGCCATTTTTTCATCCCACTGTTCTTTAACTTGCTGTTTGTTATCAAAGGGTATCAGGTTGACTAAGTGAAAGGCAGACAGTTTATCATGTGGTGAATTGTTATTAATGATTTGTTCATTTTTTAAATAATATAACATACATATGGAAAAATACATGTACTATTGCAAATATAAAAGGGTTTACTACTACTAGTTTACCACAACTAATACTACGAAAACTATTACACTTATTTTTTCACAGGCTTTTATATTGATGGCTATAAAAACATATTTTAGAGTAATAATGTTGAGGCAAACACTGCTGTCCTACATAAAGAAAAGACCTCTTCAGTTACTATTCACTCCTCCTCTGGAGCTGTCCATGGTGCTGAATGTGTGGTGCTCACAGACAGGACTGTGTGTACTGAAGACTTACAAAGACTTTTATCTTTCTCTACAGAGAGTATTGTGTTTCGACGGTCAATGAAATCTTGAATTAATTATGAATATGAGTATCCTTTTCATTAAAAGCTTTTTTATTGATTTCACTTTCTCATGCTCATAAATTCCAAGTGTTGTGTTTACTCTAAAATTCCAGTTTTGTACTGTGGCTGTTGGGTTTAAAATTTTTGGTAATTCAGTATATATTTTAAAAACCTCTTCTACCGCAATCCAGTTTTGAATAATTATTCATTATTGTGCTGTAACAAATAATGGAACTGACTGAACAAATGACCATAAAACCTCTTATTGTTGAAAATTAGTCTCTTCAGTGAATTTCATGAGAAATTTGACCCTCGAGGTTTGCAGGAGGGACTTGCAATCCAATCATGTGTGTCCTGTAAACAGATCCATAAAGGGGCAGACAGACCTGCACAGTGTAGCCCCCCACAGTGGTCGCGCGGCGAGAGCGAGTCGTCTGGGAGCCCTGCCTTCCTGCCACCAGGAAGAGCTCTGCCAGCCTCTGCTCCATGAGACTGGCAAAGCTCTGGTAGTTGGCCTCCAGGGAGGAGCTGTCTACATCCTGGATCACTGTGTGGAGAGACAGAGGAGGGTTAAGAGGTCCAGAGGTGTCCAAACACGTGAGAGGAGAGAATACATAAGAGGATCGAATAAGGACAGCTGCAGTACTTAGAGACAGGAGATGAATGGGCACTACAAAGAACAGTGTGATGGGACAATCCATTTTAAAGCTGCTCATCCAGAAACCTTTAGAACAGCTGCAGTGACAAATGCATCAAACACAGTCCCCTGCTGGCTAACTGTGGAGAGATACCTGCTTTAACCAAAGAACAAGGAAAAGTCTCCACTCCAACTGTATCTTATATCTGCTGTATTGTCAGTGATTGATTCTACACTCTTGAGATTACGGATTTGCATGTAATTAGCATTAGAGTGTCGCAGGGAATGTAAAGTGATTTGGCAGAAGATGTAGAAAGAAGAAAATTAACCTTCAAAGATAAACAAAACTTTTAGCTTTAAACCACATGTAAGTATTCCTATATCCATTCCTCAAATATTTTGGGTAACTACATTTAATTTAGTGTCTCATTCACTAAGGGAGCTGTGGTTTCCAATAATAGATGAGACTACAGTGGGCCTTAATCTAAAATTCTGCCCAAACCTAGCTTGTGTTATATTGTGTTGCATGTTCTATTGACAAAACACATACTGTCAGCCTCACACTTTTTTATGCCTTCTGTATGCTATTTGTATGCATTTTGTATTATTGTTCTTTGCTGACTGACTAACTTATACAGATTCTGATACCATAGCCTCATCCAAACCTATAGGAAACAAGGACTGAGTATATGTAAGCACAAGACATTTAATTTATTTTACTTGTGTTTTGAGCTACTTTACAAAGATGTGACAACCAGGATAATAGACATACGTCAGAGCCCCACACCCGGTAGTGATATGATGTGAAGCGATCTCTCTCTGTGCCCCGGTCAGGAAGCAGTGAATTATACATCAATACTTCTTCACTGGAACACAGCGGTTCGGAGCACAGGGGAGAAGGAGGCAGCACAGTGGGGAGAGGAGATTCTGCTGAGCTTCACAAGCATCAGCGCTAGAAAGGTTTACTAACTGTAGTTTAGTCTAATCGATGCAGCTCCTGATTAGCACTGATCACCCTGCATCACCACACGCTGTGCAAAAGCAAAATCCACTTACCTGTTATGACCCAATAGTTCCTTGTGGCGGTTGATGTGTTGAGATTATGGTATTCAAGGGCTGCACAGAAAAGAGAGAGGAGAAAAGAAAAGTCATGACCGTGAGATGAATAAACTTAGCCTTAAAAGTGCACTGTGTAACATTTGTAGTGTGGGGTCCGTTGCCTGCTTGTCTCCATGGAAATGCTATTGCTTTGTCTATAATGTTTCACGTACAAATTAAACCTGTCTATCATGAAGGAAACAAGCAGGTTACAGCACTACGATACATTACAATTCAGATCTGTGGAGAGTCTCCCCTATTCACAGAAGAAATTATTGTATTTTTGAGCCATAGAAACACCCGTAGTGAGTAAAGGCTGGATGGAAATGTTTTAAGTCATACCGTGGAAAGCAATAATATCTCCATGGAGACAAACAGATAGCAAACCTTCCACCAGAAAAGTTGCACAGTGCACATTTAATAATATAATATAATATAATATAACAACAAAGAGCAAACATATAAATGGTAATAATAAATTCAAAATAAGTGGCAAAAATACCAAGAGACTTGTGTCAAATAAGGCAAATTGAGAAGTATTGAGAAGTAAGTTTGAATAGGGTTTATATACAGAAGGAGAACTTGAAAAATGTAAAGATTCAAACCTTTACAAATAGGAACTTAATCTATGTCTGTAATCCTTGGTCAAACCTCATTGTTAAAGCCTGATCCCGTCAGATCTCAGAAGCTAAGCATGTCCGGGCCTGGTTAGTACTTAGATGGGAGTCAACTGGGAAAATCAGGTGCCACTGGGGAGCACCGGTGGCAAAAACCGTTGTTGTGTCCTTAGGCAAGACACGTCACCCACATTGCCTAGTATGAAAGTGGTGTGTGCGTGAGTGTTAGTGGTGGTTGGAGGGACCAATGGCACAGAATGGCAGCCTCACTTTCGTCAGTCTGCCCCAGATTGTCTAGAAAAACGCTACATAAGACTAATGCAATAACTATTAGTATTAATCAAGATTTAATGAAGAATATGCAGTGTTTTTTTTCTCCTTTTGACTATAAAAAGTTAACATGCATCATTTGTATCTCTTATACAGCATTTTGTAAAATTATTCACACTTTGTAACTCTGCAATATTTAATTTTGCAAGTTGATGGTTGCCATGGGTTTATTTAAGGTCTGTATCATTTGATAAAAGTTTCAGCCCACAATTTCCTTTTTGCCTAGAACCACAAGGCAAATTACTTTCTATACTCAGGCTCTTTGCTTTGAAATTGAGTTTTGAAATAGCCTTGCATTTATTCATCCATGAATTCAAGCTTGTACTGAACATATCTGTGGTTCATACAGCAGACCTTTTATAGAACTGTGCTTGGGCCTGTCACGATAACAAATTTTGAAGCACGATATACTGCCACAGATAATATGCCATAAATGAAAGAAAGATAACTGATAATAATCAAACTATTATGTCACTATCACAGAATTCAAATAAAGTAGGATAATCCCAGTAAACCATTTTGAAATAGACAGTATCATTAAAAGGCATGAGTTGCAACAAATAAATAGCCAAATGAAACCATAACAGTGACTTATTCAACTCTCTACAGCTAAAATCTTATTGTATTACAACAAATATCTCCCCACTTTCAGAAGAAAAATTACCCATGATAAATACAGAACCCCAAAATACATGGTTCCTTGTATTATATATTGAATTATTAGTTAGTATAGCAATTATCGTGACAGGACTAACTGTGCTGAAATGCTTTTCCACTCTTCATCTAAACAGCATCTTACATTTTGCAGCATAAGACAATTAAACATAGCCTGATTTGTGTGTAGCAGGCAGATTATATTTTGGAGCCCACTTTAATTTCCATAAAAGGAACAAAAGATTGCATTGCATTACAATGAATCAGAATTAGAATCAGAAAAAGCTCTATTGTCATTGTTAGTGCGCAAAATTCACAAACTAAAATGGTTAGAAAACAAAAGCATGTTGTGGCTGGCATACGACAGATTTCCTTGAACACAATACAAGATCTATTTTTGTCTACAGGTCTCTTTGGGCCTCTTGTTCATCTGTCAGCCTACTTCTCCCCATCTCCTTTTCTGCTCAGCCTGTCTTCTCTAAGCAGTAGAAAGGTGGTGCTTGAGTTGATGCATATCCGTTAATAGCATCGTGTGTTTGTGCTCTGGCCCTGTGTTGTACGTGAGGGCATTAAAATTCACTGGCTTGCTCCTGAACTTCCGTAAGTTTACATAAACAGACTGAGAGCTAAGGTTAATCCTCAAATCGTGACCTATGAAGCTTCTGTTCGATCCACTGAGCTCACTGTGCACAAGTCAAAGGGATAATCATTTACTAAAATAATACAAACACTATCAATTGTTTTTCATACATTTTTTTTTAGTCTGCATGTCAAATTAAAGGTCTTATGTAATGCAAAATTGACTCTTGTGAGCTTTAAGCCATGTTACCTGGAATTGTGTTTAGTTTTATTCACACAGCAACAATTGTTGTTGTTGTTGTTGTTAGCCTTGTCAAAAGTCAATCATTATTTGTTTTTATCATTTTATTGATTCATCAAATTAAAAGTAATGTCTAGCCTTGTTTATATATCTGTTGCCGTTATGGACAATTTATAATAAAACCATGTTATTCAGGTTCTTTTTTAAGACCAAGAGTTTGTTTTCATACCTGAGTTTCGACTTCCTCAGAGTCATGTGATGTTGTTGTGCCGTTTACGGTCAGCTGATTTATACAGGTTTTGGAAATACAGAAACATGCCTACGGGACGATAAACCGGGATGAGGGGGCTTTTTTTTATCTCACACGCCTGGGATACTGTCCTAAGGATGTCTCCACCTCCACCGGTGAGAAGACAGCACTAAAACCTGTATAAATCAGCTGACCAGCAACATCGCGTGACCACTCTGTCAGGTATGAAAACAAACTCTTGGTGTGAAAAAAGAACCTAATAAAAATAAATAAATTATGGGAAGACCAAATGAAACTCATTGAACAACTTATAATAAAACCCTTAATAACATTTTGGGAGGGATGAATACACCTGTGTTCCATAAAACCTTCAGAATTGTATAATTTGTCTTTGCTGAGAATCTCTCAAAACCCTTTCCTTTCATTGTTACCCTGAACAAACCAATCAATACAAAAAATAAAAAATATTTTATATTTCATAACCAACCAATAATATTACCTCAACACCAAAAGTACGACCTCAATTAGTGTCTGTTTTGCGACAACAACTGTTTTCCACAACACTGATTTAAGTGCTGCTAAGCCCTGGGGTGTTGATAGCACACACAAACAGATACTAATCTAATCTCAGTGGGGCTAAAATTAGCTCGTTCATGGACATGGTCGACAGTGGCCCCGGGCAGGACTGGGGCAAAAGGAGGCGTACAGCTGTTTGTCCCGCCCTAGGCACAGATGGCTGCAGTGGGACCAGATCATGTGCACATATCTGAGGTCACTAGTCTTTCACTCAGTTTTGTAACGTCAAGGCGTAGCTCAAATGTCTTAGCCAGTGCTGGATGAAGTACTCAGTTTTGTTACTTAAAGGTGGATTGTGTAGCTTTTCTGGTGGAGAGTCCGTCAAAAACTTTTCTTCTTGGAGATGTTATTACTTTGTCTGGAATGCTTCACAGTATGGTATTAAACCTTTCTATCCTCATGAAGACCAAACCAGCCCAAATTACAGGTCAGATCTGTGGAGAGGCGACCCTGCTCTCAGTCAGAGTGCCTGTTTTTCTAGGTATTTCAGAGCAATAAAACCACCTGTAATTGAATAAATGTAAGGTAGAGCTGTTTAATATCATACTGTGGAACATTACAAGCAGCACAATGACATATCGAGAGAAATATGCAGGTGACGGACCAAAAAGTTACATAAGTTACATTTTAAGTAAAAGTATAAATACCAGAGCAAAAAAAATAAAAAAATTAAAAAAATAAAATTATGAAAAAATCAAAGTATCACATGAAAAAATCTACTTAAGTAAACCTATTAATGTACTGTAACTGTAAAAAGTAAAAGTATTTTGCATTGATTTTGACTGAATAAAGCTATGAATGTGTTACAAAAATATAGCCCCTAAGCCTTTTCAGCAGGTCTCAAACAATAATAAAAAAAAACCTTTGTCCTTTTAAAAAATGTAGTAGAAAGTACAGATACTTGTTCTTAAATGAAGTGAAGTAAAAGTAAAAAGTATCTGCTTGAAAATGTACTCCAGTCCAGATAATTAAAATTTTTACTTGAATACAGTACTTTACTTTTATTTTGTTACGTCCCACCACACTTAGCTTGCGGTGAAATGAAGCATCAGAGACAGAAAATGGCCTTGTCATTTAGAGGAGCTCATGGTGTACAGAGCAGAACCAGAGACAAGGGAATGCCAAACGCTACATTAACCTTGTGCTGCTGGAGTTGTATTGATATGAAAGTGCACTGATTTGCATATTGGTTTGGCATATGGTTTTCCCCATCTGACCCTCTAGATGCAGTCTTTTGATGTGTTGGTTGTTTTCTATATCTGATCATGGTGAAGAAGGTGCAACGTTACAATATGTTTCATTATTAAAAGCACAATTGATTTTGTTTGAATGTGCTGGTCACTAAATTAATCAATTAAACATTTGAATATAAATACATTTGTAAAAAACAAAAGCTGATACATTATTAAACTGCTCAAGTGGCAATTTATAAGAACCCTCAGTAATATTTTATGGACAGTTACACTGCTTATATTAATGATGAATGAATAAACAACAACATTTAATGGTCAGATTTAGTAGAAGATTTTGCAACGATTAGAGTGATTTAGAGGTTGTAATAAAATGGCTATTTATCAGGCAGTTGTTCCTAAAATGGAGGGTTGGCAAGTGAATATGCAAAGAGCTAGAGCAGCAGTGGGTTCAGGGAGCCCTGGGGCGCCTCAGAGGCTCTGCAGGGGGACTGTCAAAGGTTGTTCACACAATAAGCATAAAAGAAAATTGAGTTTTGAAATCAGCTTTACATAATATTTTTGGTTACATTTACTACTTTATATTAGTATTAAGCCTACAGATATAATTATATTGTTTTAAGTGTTTTAAGGAAAAAAACATGACATTTTATATTAAATTTATGTTAAGTAGAGTAAATTATTATTCGGGGGGCCTGTGGGATCTTTACATCGACGAGGGGCCACGGCACTGTAGACATTGGGAATGGTTGAGCTGAACGGGAAAATGCTTTATTTTTTATGTTTTTATGGATGTCTTGGTGCACTATATTAGCATAACACAATTAACAGTTCTGTAATTAGAGAGGCGAGGGGGTTGTGTCTCAAATGCTCCCCAAATGAATCATTAGATAATTACATCATTAATCAGTTTGTTTCTGTAGTTTCTGTTTTTTTAAGCACGAAATAGGAAGACTGTAATAGCTGAGACTGATTTGTGGGGCAGGTGACTGCAGTGGGCCATAATTTTCCCTATTGACTAAAAATGACAATGAAGAAGTCTAGTGCTGGCTTTGGCAATCAAAGCAGGTCAAAAGTGCCATGAATCATGCAGTGGTGTGTGGAGTCAGCAGTCAGTGCAGTGAAGCTCTACATGTGCCTTACAGTCTGTTTGAGCACAGCACACAAACCAGAGCAAAATACAGGTTATGCAATGACACAAAATGAGCACAAGGACTGAAGCAGCTGTCCACGCCGAAGACAGTGGACCACACTGGCCTCATTACCAAAGAAAGCTTTAACCATGGAATTCTGGGTTTTTCCAGGGCATGTCTCTGTGTCAGGACTAAAATGGATCAGAGCTGCCGGGCGTTTAGTTCTCCTCAGTCTGGTGAACACTTCACAAAACACACTGTTCTTTTCAGAGCCACAGCCTCCTCCTCCTCCTCTGTGACTCTGGAGACATTTTGGCCGTACCATCACAGAATTCACATCACTGTATTTGCACTGTGGCTACCAGATCTAATCAGATTAAGTGAGATTGATCAATTATTCAGTTAATAAATTATTATCATTTATAAATTGTTAAACCAATTATTAAACCAATTAAATTAAACTAATAAATGATTTCAAGATTAAACACAGATTCTCAGACCCTGACAGAAACCTTTTTTAATCAAACATCAGTGCGGTGAACAAAATAATATTTGGTGATTTCGATTTAATTGAAAAACTTTTCCTTGTCTAAAATTATCAATAAATCCTCAAAGATCATATTTCATATTTACAACTTATAAACAGCTTAATTGATTGGCAAAATAGTTTAAGTAATACTACTAATACTAATACTAATACTAATATTAAAGATCTTACATTATGTAAAACTGATTCTTAACAGTATGTGTCATGAAAACATTGTAATTTGTTTCATTCACACATGTTTGAGTAACCTTTTATTATTAGTCTCAAAAGCTCAAGGCTCTGTTCCACCTTGTGATGTCACGAAGCAGAAGTTTTAAAGTTAACAGCTACATTTTACCTTTAGTTCAGTAGAGATTGGCAATTCAAGGGCTGAATCAAATGATTCTAGAGAAGGTGTATGGAGTTTTAAAACACAGGGGAGAACCACATTTACCACATGACATCACAAAGTGGAACAGAGTGTTTTCTGTTTGAGAAAAGAAGTCAGCCTAAATGTGCATGATCTGTGTGTTAAAAGTGTGTGAAAGAAACAAAACACAACTCCAGGTATGTTTGTGATGAGCAAATAACATTATAAAAAAGATCAGAAAATAGTGTAATATGGGCCCTTTAACTGTTCTGAGACACAGCAGATGGGGATTTATTTGTGGGACCAAATGTAGAAATTGCACATTAAACATGATTTATGTCTTGCTCCAGAATTAATTAGTATTTGGATGTTTGAAAGAGAGCCATGAGCTAAATGAGCGAAAATGTCCAGTAGCTGTGATGCCAACTCATGTGGCTGTTGGCGTCTCAAAATACCCACACAAGTTTGCCAGCTGACCTCACCGCTCAAAGCTGATCATTAATTAGATCAACATGTCAACGCCACAGCTAAACTAAAAGGCGCGCTGTGTAACATTTCTAGTGGAGGGTCCATCACCTGCTTGTCTCTATGGAAATGTTATTGCTTTGTCTATAATGTTCCACAGTACAGATTAAACCTGTCTACTGTATCACGAGGGAGACAAGCAGGTTACAGCACTATGCTACATTACAGTTCAGATCTGTGGAGAGTCGCCTCTATTCACAGAAGGAATTATTGTCTTTTTGACAAATGACAGACAAGAAGGTAGCCGACCCTTAACCAGAAAAGTTACACAGCGCACCTTTAACCATAAATTTTAAGCATCTGTATTTTACTTGAATACATTTTAAAATGAATACTTTTAACTTCTACTTCACCACATTTGAGAGCAGGTATCTGTACTTTCTGCTCCACTACTACATGAATACATGAACAAATCTGAAAAGAAAAGTGTTTTTTATTATTGTTTGAGACCTGCTGAAAAGGGAGTCAAGTGTTTTTTAGTACTTTTTTTGTTTGAGCAAAACTGAACATAAAGCAGCTCAAATCTTTATCAAAATCACCACATTTAAAGTTTTATTAGATCTCAAAATCTGCGCGAAAAACTTGTACATACATTTTATTCTTTAAAGATGCACTGTGTGACTTTTAGGGTAGAGGGTCTGTCACCTACCTGACTCCATGTTGTTTTTCCTGGAATGTTCTACAGTATGGCATTTAATTAACTATCTCCATGGAGACAAACAGGCCACATCACCAGGCCAAGTTAGAGGTCAGATCTGTGGAGAAGTGAGCCTGCTCACAGTAAGAATGCATGTCTTTGCAGTAGTTTTGAGAAATAAAAACACATGTTATTGAAAAAAATACAAGATATATTTGTGGAAGATCCCAGACAAAGAAATAACATCACCATGGAGATAAGCAGATGGCAGCTCCTTCACCAGAAAAGTTACACAATGCACCTTTAAGTCAATTTTTAAATGGTACATTGGTACATTTACTTACAGTAGGTTGATTTTTTTCATGTGATACTTTTTACATTTTTTATATTTTTTTTTGCTCTGGTATCTGTACTTTCACTTTCACTTTCAATTGAGTACTTCTTCCACCACTGCCCTCTGTACTTAGAGTTTGTAGTGTAGTTTACTCACGCTCGGCGATGATGAGGGGTGGGTAGAAGAGGAAGTACCCAACCAATTCTGCAGTCAGCTGGTTCAGGAGCCCGCTGGAAATGGTCCCATTGAGAATTACGTCTTGGTTTTTCACAAGGTAGATGAGAGAAACCGAGGGAGAGCCTGGGTCCTGATGAACACTGAGGATCTGAGGAGAAATACATAAAAAAATACATTCACAAAAGAACAATTCAAGAGCAAAAACCAATATTTTTCTCAGATTCACTAGGTCATATATAAAATCTTTAAAATCATAGTACAGGTTCTCTGTGAAGGCTGACTGAGATGAAGATCATCTAGCTGGTTGAAACACTTGGCATCCCTCCCCATGTAATAAAGGACTTTTAATATTTTCGGTTGGCATACCTTGAGTTTGTACCTAGCCCATTTTTACATTATTAATAAAGGGCCACATACTGCAGAGATATATATATATATTTTTTTTATTACCATCTGCTACAGATATTGAAAATGAAAATAATGTAAACTAGATTTTATCAAGAGAGGATGGAATAGTAATTTGATTGCAGTAAAATGCATGTATGCTTTTGAAAACATTTCTTTTATACCTTTATACTTATTTATGTTTTGATTTGTTTGTATTGTGGTTTTAATCTTTATTGTGTACAAAATGCAACGTTTTGTTAGCCTGATTCATCAGCCGGTTTCACTTTGTGGAAACCATCTGACCTCACAGCATTAGGATTCGTTCGCTCGACGGTAGGAGTGTACTTTTTTATTTAACGTGTTGCTGCTATTTGGTTGTGATGTATGTAATGCGCTGCTAACAGGATTAACTGGTATATTAAGTTTTTCCCAAATCCTGTAGAAAGAAGGGCAATAACAACTTTCCCCTTGATAAAATTCACCAGACATTCTCTTTGTTCCAGCTTTATCCAGCCTGGCTAGTGTTTTGTTACAAGACAGTAAATTCATGGGTCTCGTCAGTAACAGGTTCAACATTTGTGATTTCACCTTTTGGTATTTCATGGCAAAGTACAATGTCATCAATAGGACAAACTGTCTCTTGCCCCCGGCTGAAAGTGTGACGTCATCACATTTTATAATCTGAAAAATCACAAATAACGATTCTACAAGATGTAATATAAAATTATCTTTCTCTGTGTGTGCTTGCTTCAAAGTAAACTGTGTATGAACCAAATAGTCTAAATAAATACAATTTACCAAGACATAAAAGTGTAAATAGGGACTTGGACAAACATGTCAGTAATTATTACCCAAAATAAATTGAGCTGAGAGCACAATTTGACCCTAACTGCTTTATTGTCACAAATTGTATCAGATTTAATGAGAATGGACACTTGCTGGAGCTGCTGTCATAAACCTCTCGTTTGACTGCACCGCCATCTGATGAGGACTATAAAGAAACAACACCATCTGTTTGACATTGGTCAGATTTGACTAAGTACGCGGCAGCAGCAGACATGAAATGGTCTAATCGACTGACATTACGTAATAGATTTTGGTTATACAATTTTACACCAAAGTAATTATTTTTTTATTATTTTATTTTTTCAATTTGTAAATTTGAAAAAACAAAACCCTCCCACACCCCACCCCTCTCTCCACACCCCGCAGTCCAGAATATCACAGATACTACACACATACAGTTACACAAAAAGTATTAGATATTCAACCATCAACACCAAAGTTCTAAATCTAATGTAATACCAGGAACAGGAGAAACAGGGACACTGGTATAGCTCCATTTAGAGGAGAAAAAACAAACTAGTATTATTAATAGGTCTTGGTTGCACTTGGTTGCATCAGTACAGTATATTTTATTGAGAACTTCAGCTTAGGTCAGTATCAAGTGACAGGTTGCTTTTGTTTTGATCAGATTGAAATCATGCAGTTTTACCGTGTTTAAAGGGCCCATATTATGCGATTTTCGGATCGATGTTATAATGCCTAATAACTGCAACAGCTTGCTGCAGCAAAACTTGAATGGTGTTATGATTTGAATGGCAGCGGGTGCAGTCGTTGTCTACGTATGGGATGGAGAGAAACATAATTTCAATTCCTTTGTATGTCTAGTACACCTGAAAAAAAATGACAATAAAGCAAACTTTGACTTTAATGTTGTTTGCTCATCAGAAACATACCTAGAATTGTGTTTTGTTTCATTCACACATGTTTAGCAAACAGGGCCTACATATTTAGACGGAGTTATCTCAAACAGAAAACACTCTGTTCCACCTTGTCATGTCAGGTGGAAATACAGGAAGTGCTCCACCATGTTTTTAAACTACATACACCTTCACTAGAATCATTTGGATAATTTCAACTCTGGTAAAAGGTAAAATGTACAAACTTGAAAACTACCACTACATGACATGGCAAGGTGGAACAGAGCATTATGAGCTTGTGAGATGTAAACAAACTAATAATAAAGTGTTGCTCAAACATGTGTGAATGAAACAAAATATAGCTCCATGTATGTCTTTGAGGTGGTAACAGCATTATAACATAAATAAAAGCTCACAAGTTTGCGTAATACAGGACCTTAAATAGATCTTGGTTGCTTGGTTGAATCACAGTAACAGTACAGTGTATGTTATTGAGGATTTTATCTTAGGATCAGTATCATGCCACTGGCTGCATTTGCTTTGATATACTTGAAATTATTATTTTATCATATCATATTTCTTCAGTAGATCCAACAGACAATAGCATATTTATATAGAAATTATACAAAATATAACTCAAATTCTAACATTTTTTTACATATTCACAGTTCATATTGATCTTGAGCTCTTCTTTCCTTCCTATACCGTTCTGCAGCAGATATATTATTCACCATATGCATGCACAGATATAAGCCTTACACATATCTCTCATGCCCCAGAGAACAGCATTTGCAAGCCCCAGACCATAGACAGCCAATGCCCCAGACACAATATGACACTTTGAATGAACATTGTCTTTATATGCTATAAAAGGGGCCAGTGTGTGGCTTTAAAAATAATGGCAGTGAGTCACCACAATGCATGGATGAAACAAGATACAAGAAATTATCCTAACACACACACAGGCCATGAGTGTAAATATTTCAGAGAATGAATTATGAATGGGCCCTATATCTGCTGCTACATGCCGAGACCTACTTATGATGATGACGGAAGATGGTCTCTGTGTGTAATAGATAGAGTTTGGACACAGAGCAATAATAATTCATAAAATAAATGGTCAAAGTACAGTCTAGATCACAGTTACTCTCTGTTAAAGTATTTTATATATTCATTATTGGTCAGTGTAGTAAAGTACTGTACATACACTGTATACATTTTAGGTATCTGTACTTCATTTAAGTACAAATGGACACTTTTTACTTTTACTTGACTACATTTGAGAGCATGTATTGTATCTATACTTTCTAATGCACTACATTTTTAACAGGACTGAAAATAAAAGTATTTTTTTATTATTATTTGAGACCTGCTGAAAATGCTGAGGGATAATTTTTAACACATAAACAAAAACATACAAATAAAAAGAGCTAGGAAAAAATGGTCAATTAATTTGTTTCTACTGAAAAAAAAAAATCTGAACAAATCTGTATCACTATATTTGAAGCTTTATTAGATCTCAAATTAAGTGCAAAATACTTCTACTTTTTACTCTTTAATACTTTTTTTTTTTAGAGTTTTTCATGTGGTTCTTTTACTTGAGTATGTCTTTGCTCTGGTATGTGTACTTTTCCTAAAGTAACACAATTGAGTACTTCATCCACTACTGTAATTGCTATTATGCAAAGACTAAAAGTAGATATTTCTTCCTTTAAAAGCTACAGCACAAACAACCAGACCAAATATGTTTTACATTTTTGTCAAGAAACTATGGAACAGTTTTGCATAAATATAAGTTCCAATATTATGAGACCTCTAAATAGTCTAATTACACTAAATGACTAACCTTTTGACCAGTAACTTATATCCTGGAACCAGTACCAGATCCAGTTTCTTTCTGCATCAGAGCCAATAGCCCAAAACCACCAACAAACCCCATTGAATCTCTGGATTGATTTATAAACTTTGCTGGTCGCCTGTTCACAATAGCCTTTTCTAACCTCTGCAATCTTCCATTGTGATGAAGAATAAATGCTCTTACCATATCAAGGAAACACATTTTCTTGTAATATAAAATTTGTTTTCATTGAAAATTGCACCAATTTCGTTTCTTGGCAAAATAACCAATAATGGTTCAGTCAGAGTTTTGCTTTGTGTTCCATCCACTCTCAAATAGGGATGGGACAATAAACAATAATAAGGTTTATCCTGACAAAAAGGATAGACCATAATCGATCGTGGGAATGTGCAGAAAACATACTTATTCAAGATGAGCCCTTTTGAATCATTATTGTTTTCACTTAAGACAAAGTACAAAACTATAACAATGGTTACATATGGAACCTATTCATAATATTTCAATTATAATTATTAATATCCATATTTTTTACTGTCAGCAATTTTAATAATTATCATGATATTGCAGTGGTAAATGATGTATACCTTGATGATAAACAATAATCAATTTGCAAAGGCTGGTGAGGTTATTAAATACAAAAAAGATTTATTCTTTATTTCAGCAGATGGTACAGCCCCGGCCAGAGACCCCCTAAGTCTCTCTCCTAGAGCAACTGTGCTCTAAATATTTATACCAGAATTACAAAGCTACAGTTATATCAAAGTAGAGTGACTTTTGTTTCACAGCCATGAGTTAATCACAGGCAAAACAACAAGGTTTCCTGGAGAATGGAGACAGTTGTGTCTGTTAAGATTTACATTTGTTAATGCCTGGTCTGGGTCTTGGACAGAAATCACCTTCATTTTACACAAAGATAGACTATGATGGAAATATTGTATTCACAATATGAAATTACATCACAATATCATTGATAATTGCAATTATTTTGGCCATAACACCAAATTTCAATATGGTCTCATGCCTACTATCAAATCAACTCTTTCTAATAAAAAGACCATTCACTGAAAAATCTTGCCTGGACCTGCTTTAATTTCCATAATACAACATACAACACAATGAACTGGATCAGTGTGTGTAACAGTGTATCAGAGTTTAACAGTTATAGGCTCATAGCACAGGCTCATTAGTCACATTAGCCTCATTAGCATGCACATGTAAATCTGACACACTTGGCTGTCTGCATCTTACACTAAAAATAGTTCATGTGTCGACCAAAGTGAGACCTACCTCCACACTCAGCCTGCTGTACGTCTCCAGCACTTTGTCTTGCGCCTCATCAAAAGCATTCTCCAGCCTCTGCTCCAGAGTTTGGACAAAGCTGCAGGAGTAGATGTGGTCTGTAGGGCCAACAAACCTCAAAACTGTAGAGAATAAAAAGACAAGATTAATGTCACATGGGTCTTATTACAGGCAGGTTTTTTTCCATTAAGATTATTGACTATTGAATATTGGCACAGATACTGGAAAATTTGCTGGATCAGATCTTGGTTTCCAAATATCATAATATTATTTCCTGGTTGTACTTGGCCCAGAAGGTCTCAGAATGTGTGAGCTTTTTTTTATACGGCGCTGTTTTGTAGTTACCTTAGACATAAATAACAGCTACATAACATATTTGGATCAGTTTTCCAACCCAGTCCTACTTTATTTGTTTAGCACATTTTATAAACAAGACAATTTCCAAAGTGCATTTCACAAAAATCTAAAAAGTCAGCAGAATTATGTTCTGGACAAAAGAACTAATAAAAACAATAGATAAAAATAATAAAATCAGTCAATAAAAATAAGTAGTTTTGAAATTTTATTTTTGTTTAAAAGAAATAAATGCTGTTTTCAGTCTCTGCAACAGTATCTGTTTATATCGGAGATCAGCAAAGCCATAGGACTGAAATCATATTGAAAGCTGAAAAGGCTGGATCTATATTTTCCTATACAAAGAAAACATGTAGTCTGGGGTACTGTCTTATCTCCCTTCAGCTGAGTATGACTGATGGTGGATTAGTCAATCAGAGAAACATCTGTAAGTATCAAAACAAATGATGTATGTGTAAAAAAGAAAAGAGAAAAAAGTAACAGACAGAAGAGAGGAAAAAGATAACAAGCGTTTGCAAAATCAATGAGCGAAACACTAAACGCTGTCAATCAGAGGTGAGTGAATAACAGACTGTACATCTTATACAGAAGATTTCAATCTGGTCTTAGAGTTAGAGATAGACTTACTTTATTTGAACATTTTTAAATTAAAAAAGCACAACATATACAGTAGTCTCTATGCTTGCAAATCTTATACAGAAGTTTGGTTTAAACAGCAGCTTTTCCCCTAATAATGAATTTGCATTATCCTGTGTGGCCCTACTGGGAATTATGTTTAATTGCTACACAAACATGCAGAGCTGTCAAATGTAAAAGCAAAAGAAACTGGTTTAAAACTTTCAATGAACTTAATCAGGTTGCTATTGGAAACGGGGCTGCTAGTATAATTAAAGTAGTGTCTCATTATGTGTGACTGAACGCAATAAGCCTAAGTAGTGAAAGAGGATTATAGCGGGCGGTGAGAACAACCAAAAGAGTTCTGTTTCAGCGTCAGTGGTGAGGATCAGGGTAAACAATATTGAGTCCATCCACAGATTATAGAGCCTGTTATTAAATGATGTGTGTCCTCACTCTGTCCTCTATCTGTCTCTGCTGTAAAACCTCCAAACGACAGGCGCTGAAAAGATGGAGCCTAGATTCAAATCACTTTTTTTTTTCAATTTCGGCACAAATTCCAAAATTTACCACTCAAGGAGCAAATGTTCAGTTCATGTTGGCACAACTGTGTTTCCATTTTCAAGCGTTAACTCTCAGATCAAAACTATTGCAAATGTAAGATTCTCTCTACATTTGCTACAGTCTGTGTACTCTTACCAAAGTCCCTAGACCAAACACACCGGGGACAAAACTGAACACAAAGGAATCACTATATGAATAGACTTTACAGACAGAAACAGAAGCACTAGAAAGCACAAAATTACAAGGACGCACAAAGACTTCTGTGTTTTATTAGGAGACTTTCAGGTTCAAGACTGACACAATTCAGATACCAATTTAAGTTTATAAATGTGATGATTGTAGTTTTATTTTAACCACAAATTGTCCTTTTTTTTTAAGAGTGTTTTATGTTTTGTTCTCAGTGTTTACTTTTTCCAAACAATATAATTTGTGTTGAGCCAAAGCTATTGAAAAAAAAATTAAAAATATCATATGAAAGTCCTCTGTGTTCTGGGACATATAATATTGACAGTGGTTTAATGTAATTATCTAGACTGATGCCTGGCAACTATACACACTAATGCATAAAAACTATTTGTGAGCTGGGAAAATGTTATAGATTTTTGTTCAGGCTTCAAGTGGCCACTTTGTACACAGCTGTATTCTAACAACTGTGCCTATCAATTACACACAAAAACATGTCAGTTATGTAATTATGTGCACTTCATCTGTCAATAGCAAATGGGAACACAAAGAAAACAGCAACTATTTGTGCAAATTGAGTCTGAGCTACAGTTATTATTGTAAATGTTTGTATGTGATAAACAATGTGAGACATAACTGTTCTAAATACTCAAGATGTAATGTTTAGTTAAATATATCTTTGTCAAAACTGGTATTGAACCTAGAGACCTTTAACACACTTGTGAATGAGCCTTGGGCATGCACAATCACTTGCAAAATCACAACAAAATTCTAAATATACTGTAACTAAACCCTTTGCTCCATTTCAGTGAAGACTACATGAAGAAATAACATTTCTAAGCACTTTTAAGTCTTAGTTCTTTGGAGGCATTTTAAGAGGAAAAAGAAGCATATTAAGTTCTGTTAGCCTCCACAAAATATCGGAATAAATATTGTATCACGAGATGTATATCATGAAAATATCGTACTGAGAGATTTGGATATTGTTACATCCCTAATCATGAGCCTCTCCCCCTTATCGCGAGCTTTCCCATGATATTGCAATAAATATCATACTGTGAGGTTCATAACATGACGATATCATATTGTGAAACTTGGATATCGTTACACCCCTAGTACCAGTCTGTAGTCTGCCAAACACACAGCTGGTGGGTACACTGGAGCACAGAGTTGTGTCAAGAGCGTGGATATCATTTAAATGGGATGTGATTGTGTTTGCTGTAACAGTACAAGCAACTATGGTAATAATAATTTGGCAAAGCAAATCAGAATTTAAAAGTTAAGCAAAGGAAAGTGCAGTGACCTCAAGTTAACATTAGCCGTACAAAATAAGCCTGTCAATCTTTGTAATGCAGATATTCTCCCCCTAGTTCCCACAGGGCTCCATTTAGAAGTCTGCGTGCAGGGTTTTTAAAACGTTTAAAAGGCTGACAAAACAAATAGACCAATCTGGTTTAGCTCGGCTGTGATGGAGTTTTGTTGGGATTTAGGGTATCAAAGAGGAGCAGAGGGGAAGAGACGTGTAATCAGAATTTTCTAATTTGGGCCCTGCTCCACTCTCCCCCAGTGAATCCAGCTCAACACTTCTATTGCATCTTTATCTCTCCTTCTCTTCCGATTCTTTCAGCTCCTGGATGAATACGGCTAACTAACCACTCTCAGCAGAAAGACAGTGAAAAGGACTGACTTATATTTATTTAAGAACATGTGACACCCATGGATTATTATCTTATAATTTGCAGATTTTAAACTGAAATATTCATTTTGTGACAGATAAGTTTAATCTATGATGTGGAATATCCTAGACAAAGCAATAACATTTCGATGGCGACAAGCAGGTAGCAGACCCTCCACTAAAAATGTTACGCAACATTAAAATAATTATAAATTGGTGGAAAAACACTATATCTATAATAATCTTAACACAAACGTATTGTTTCCAAATGTATTCTGCACGTTTTTGAAGTCTGAGCTTGTGCTTGGACTCTCACCTGTTTTGAGCTGCAGATGGATGCTGGGGTTGGGCATCAGTGCTGCCACAGGGACCAGCACAGCCTTGACCAGTGGAGTGTGCTGCCGTATTTCTGACAACAACTTGTCAAATCCATAGACATTCAGAGCGTCCACCACCACAGAGGCGATGTAGACAGTTTTACCACTGGTCACGTAGTAAACCAAGGTCACATTATGGGGGCCGCAGTCATCACGCTCCACCTGTAAACAACACATGCATTACTTGACACAATGAACAGAGGATCTAATGTGAAGGCAGCTCTGAACAGCATCGCTATCATTTTGAGGCTCAACGCTATCTCCCATCGCATATGACTCTCTCTTTCAGGTTCAGATTCAGTCAACTTTATTAATCCCACCAGGGGCAATTTGAGCAGTGATAAAAACACATAATGACAAACAAACATTCAACAGATGGGGCGATTCTGAGCAAAGAGGAGCTCTGAGGACTAAAAAGCACCCAATAAAAATACATGACATCAAGATATAATTTAAAAAGTGAATGGCAGTAGGAATGAAAGATTTCAAATACCCTAACACTAATTTTGAGTAACTGTATTTAGGTACTTTTTAATCTAGTGGTGTTCAGAAGTTACTTTTCTAAATTCGTAGAAATACATTGCTGTGCTTGATCACACAATTTTGGCTTCAAACTGCTTGATATTGGAGAGCTAAACAGAAAACACTACTCTTATGCTGAGTGCGTGTGCAATTTTTCCATCTCCACTAGACAAACATAAACAAACACAAAGCTGTTTTTAATCTTATGTTGTGTTTTTACACTATAATTTAAATGCAACTAGATGTAAAAGTAGTGTTATGTTACAAAATACATTTTAATGCAGGTATTCCGTATTCGGTAACTAAATAAATTTTCAAAGTATTCCTCCATTACTGTCTATAGTATGATTTTAGTCATACCAATAACCTAAACATTATTTATTAGATTCATGTTGGACACATTTGAAAGTGAGCCAAACAAATACGAGAGAGAAAAGCTGGGTCCAACGTGAAAACTAATATTTTATCTCATGCATCTTCTTCTGCAACATGATTTGAAAGCCTGTGTAAAGAATGCAAATGAGTCCTCCTCTGCTATGAATATTTATCAAGTTTAAATAGAATAGTTAATCCTTGGACTTGCTGTATCTTACTTGAGGGCATGTTTTTAAGCTGGAGCATGCCACCCTCATAAATCTGAGTAATTGTGTTCTGGAAAAAGCAACATCCAGACAAGGATCAGTTGAGTCGAAGCCTGTTTTTGCGCAGAGATTTCCACCTCTCTCCATCCTTCATCGCTGCAGCTGGGGCACTCATGGCTCCTCTTCCCCATACCTCTCTGCTGAGTCTGTGGCTGTGCACTGTGGGACCCTGGGGACTATTCTTAGAGGAAAAGTTGCTTTAGATAAAACTGTTTCTTATTCTCTCCTCATCTTTTCACTCAGAAATACGCTACTCAGGACGTATTGTTCTAGCAAATGTGTTTAAAGCACGATACATGTTTAGTATTGATTCACAAGGATTCGTTTTGGAAAATACCACACCCCACTACTGTTGTATATGGAAAACATTTACCACTTTTTGTCATGTGTCTAATGTTAAAGGGCCTATATTACACTATTCTCTGATCTCTGTCATAACCTTGCTACGTCATCAAAAACATGCCTGGATTTGTGTTTTGTTTCATTCACACACACATGTTTAACACATAAATTCTACATAATTGGGCTGAGTTCTTCTCTCAAACAGCAAACACTCTGTTCCACCTTGTGATGTCATGTGGTAATACAGAAAGTACTTCACTGTGTTTTTAAACACCATACACTTTCACTAGAATCATCTGGGTGATTTCAGATCTGAAACTGCCTATCTCTTCTGAACAAAAAATAGTAGCTGGTAGCTATTAATTTGAAAACTACCACTACATGACAACACAAGGTGGGGAGCTTTGCAGATGTAGACAAGACTAATAAACCAGAATTACTCAAACATGTGTGAATGAAACAAAACACAAATCCAGGTATGTTTTTAAAAAGCAAAACAGCATTACAACATGTCTTAAAGCTGACATGAGTCAATTATGTGCAAAATACGACCTTCAATATTTGTTTAAACATCCATTATAAACACAATTTATTATTATTGTTACATTTAAACATAGAATGGCATGTCATAAAATTGTTTACATTTTTATCCATTGAGTTCCGTATTCATGGTGAAAGTTCAAGATACAAAGATTTATTTGCTAACCTCAACACGCCCCGACTTAAACTTGCACAGTGTCCAATTACTGAAGCAATTTAGTCATAAACAGTCAATAGGTACTGTCAGCTCATTAAACGGAATCACATATCTTTTTATAGCATTATTGTTTAATTTCACAGTAATGAGAGTGTGGTAATAAGATGCAGTGTTTTTCAGAGAGCCACATACACAGAGACCCCTGGAGAAGGTGCTGCTGCTATTGGACCAGTGCGTGCTTATATAAAAAACAACTGTGGATGTAACAACACAATATGACCTTGCCCTCTTTTTCTCTCCTTTTTGTGTTTGTTGTTTTAAAAATTACAGGGAAAGAGAGAGAGAGACTGCTATTTTTAATAAGCCACCACATAAAGGACCATGCACAGTATAAAATATATAACAGTTATTACAGTGAGTCGCTATACTGAACAGACTATTGTGAGAAGATACAGTTAGATATTAGCCTGCCTCCAATAACTATGAACTCAAACGTGAAAAATTACTATTACACTTGTGTTTAGCTAAATTGCAAAACCGTGATTTGATTGGTTAGAGTCTGAGTTACAACAATAGTAGTACAAATAAGTGTCAGTGGTACAATAAACTACAATAAAATAGCCTCTCGTATACATATAAATGTGGGAGCACACAATTTCAGTACTTCAATACACGGTAACAGACATAGTTAACCCGCTAGCCACCACATTCCAAATAGGAAGTGATAATGGGCACACTTCGTTCAGTCTGGCTCCAGTTGACTTTACACTGAAAAATTGTCCCCCCTCTCTTTGTAACTGCTGCTGTCGGGCTCCTCATTTTGGTCTTAAAATGTTCGTACTAACCCACTCTACATGATCCGGGTGTTTTTATTTAGTTATTTTGTTGGTAAAAGAAGATATGAGCATTAATCAGGGACCTTCTTTCCCGAGGTTCTTCCCTGTCAAACCAGTGATGCAGGCGGGAATGGGCAGTATACCGTCAATAGCCTTGCTCCGTATTGGCTTTTTGGTTCCTATGATATTCAAGGTTAAAATTCCAAATATGGAACTTGGCCCTGAATTCACCCTTTTAACTGCAAGCCTCAACAAGCCTCATTTGACTGAAGCAAAAAACACTCTGGGTGACATCACACTCACTTAGTCCACTTCTTTATACAGTCTGAGCTGACCCCTCAAATACTCACAAAAGTATGTATGCTAGTATGAATTAGACCTGTAATGTTTTGATGCTGTAAGAAGTAGAACAGATAAAACGAATAGCATAGTCATTTTAGGCACCCTGTGATTTGCTGTACCTTGCTGTTCCTGTCTCCAATAGGCTATTACCCAGTGATGCTGTGCTTTATCTAATGCGAGGAGTGGTTTGGTGAATGTTTGCATCAGCGCGTTGTAGGGTGCAGATGAAAGTGGACTAGAGCTCAGAGACTCTGAGTCACTCCCTGTGCAGGCTCACAAACAACAGGATAAAAATAGCAAAAGGCGGCAAGGGAAGACAGACTGACAGAGACATGAAGCCAGGCAGGTGGACGCAGAGAGGCGAGAATCAGCACACGCAAACTGACAGTCAGGAGAGAGAGAGAGGCAGCTCTGTGCTGAATCAATACAGCAAAGATATAAGGCAGAAATCTGATATGGGTAAGATGGACCAGAGCAGGGGTGTAAACAACACTCCAAAACTGCAGTACATTTTACGAGCCCTGCCTCTTGTCAATAAAAGGAGGGAGTATTTGTTAGTTTGTTCAATGCAAAAATAAAATTGCCAACAAACCAGACAGTAAAATATGGGGCAGTAAAACCAGTTTAACTGTGTTAAAATATTTTCATCAGACTAGCTTCATATGATTTATTCCTACTCTATTGGATTCTTGGATATATGTAAAGGTCCTATATTATGCAAAATTGACTCTTGTGAGGGTTTAGCCATGTTAGAACCTTGTTACCTCAGAAACATACCTGGAGTTCTGTTTTGTTTTATTCTCTCATGTTTGAGTAACCCTATACTATTAGTCTGTCTACACTTCTTAGAATGGTCTGTTCCATATTGTGATGTCATGGAGTGGCAGTTTTCAAGTTAGCAGTTACTTTTTATCTTCAGTTCAGTAGAGAATGGAAATTCCAGGGCTTCCAAAGGGTTTGAAAACAAAGTGAAACACTTCCTGTATTACCATATGACATCACAAGGTAGAACAGAATGATTTCAATTTGAGAGAAGAACTAACCCTAAATACACAGAGCTTTGTGTGTTAAACATGTGAATGAAACAACAACTCCACATATGTTTCTGATGAGGAAACAATATTACAACCTAGATCAGAAAAAAGCATCATATAAACCCTTTAAATATAATGGTTCTTGAAGTAATATGGAGTGACTCAGACTAACACTGCTGTCATGAGTCAAGTAGTGATGCTGTTTCAAGAACCAATCAAATGTGACCGGCAACTACAAAAAGAGCATATGGTTTATTGCTGTTAAAAATATCTTGATGATGTCACGTACAAAGTCATCAGTAGCAGTTTTAGAGCAAGAGATACCTCATTGATCTCGAGGGAAAGTTTTGCTGTAGAAACATTTGCACTGCCTTTCTCAGTCAAAAGTCTCTGTTATTTCTGTAATTAGCACCGTACTGTATATGACAATAAGTGGGGCACCATATGATATTTAAATTTTAACAGTTATAATGCAAATAAATCTCACTTTTTATAATTCATTTGGCATCAATGAAAATGTATGACAGAGGACATGGATGAACAGAAGAGGTGGTCAGCCTAATGAAGTGAAAAAAAACATACAAATTATAAAACAGGAATCATGTCACAAATAATAACATCCCAAGAGCAGTCAGTATCAAAATGATAGACAGACATGCAAAGGCCACAGAGCTATAAGTTTACATGTCCAAAAAGGAGTGAGAAAAAGTAGAACCTTGAAGTCCGTCTCACCTGTGCATACGCTGAGGAGTCATTGAGGGCTCTCTGAAGGGCGTGGCTCAGTCCTTTGGCCAGGTTCTGCTTCAGGATCAGGTCCAGGCGATTTTTGCGCAACTCAAGAGACAAAACTAGGAGAAAAAATAATCACTGTACAATATTTAGCATTTAAACAGGATTAATCTTTGTATCAAGGTGTTGCTAGGCCTATCACGATAATTACAACAAAACTTTAGGGGGCAGGAGTGCAACTTGGATGTGTAGACATTGTGAATAATTGTCCTTTTGGTACATAGGGCCCAATCTTAAATACAAAGATGAAAAAGCTGAGGCACTAAAAATAAAATTACTCCAACGCATTTCAGCCCTTCGGCCTTCATCAGGGAAAACTCGAGATGGCTTTCAATGATAGTTTTAATTATTTTGTGCTTTTTGAGTGCCTCAGCTTTTTCAGTGATAATTACTATATTGATTTATCTTTCAATGTATTTCAGATGTAACTATAATTTTTGGGGTTCAGTAATATCGTTTTTTCTGTACCATAATAAGATTTGAGTCTTAGAGGGTTGAATAGCCTAAATAACCTCAGTCATTATAGATACAAATTAACTACTGTCAGCGGCAATGGTTTAAGTTTCAGTATCACCTTTTATCATCAATATTTTCTTCAGCAATATATTGTACTTGAAATTTTGTTACAGTGACAGGTCTAGGTGTTGCTAATCCTGGACTTTGAAAACTTGCTGACCAGAAAAAGCCTTTAATATCAGGCTTACGGTAATGAAATCTAAGCATCTACTGAAACTGTGCCTCAGGAAAAAGTAGTCCTGCTTTGTGCCACTTTTAATTAATTTGCAGCCTGTAATTACAGCATGGGCACACATTACCTACTTTGTGTGTTAGCTTCGGAAATTAAATAGCAGAAGTAGTGATTATTACTGTTGTGAATTGGCTCTGTGCTCCCACTGTGCCTGGCCTACATAGTTTTTCTTAATATACTGTATATTCTTCCCATTTATTTCCTGGATAATGGATAGTATGCCAGTTGAATAATGAGATGAAGAAGCAACAAAAAAGGCCTATTAAGAATCTAATTTTAGTCTCATGGTTTTATTTGGGAGTTTGATAAAGACAGAATTTGACTGGGAATTTGAGGGTTTTAGCTTTATGTCTGACATGCATAAGAGCTTCATTTAGGTGGCTGAGAAAAAAATTTAAAAGTTATTTTATCACCCTTTATAACTGAAGATGAATGTGTTTTTCATTTCTACAGTTAGATAACATCTGAGTGAATGTGAGAACAACAAATGCAGCTCTTCTTTAATACACTTCCACCTGTATCATAGATGGTATATATAAAAGTACACAGCTAACACAGGGTCAGCCCTATGTTCCCTCATTTCTAAGATTTTCCTCAAAATGAAACTCTAAGTCAAGTAATTTTTATTTCTATACCACATAAAAGGGATGATTCAGAGTCATTTCAACTTAGGGTCCTTTGCACCATGACCTCTACATTAGATCTGTAGTCAGTTACTGCTGGATAATAGGTTGGGTGTGATTATCAAATTGGGAGAAATTATAATAAAATCTGCTGCAAATTGATGATAAAGATAACTGAGGGATCATAGGGCCTAATTTTGTATATAAAAAATAAAACAAAAAAAACAACAACAAAAAATCTCAGAAATGAGGGAACATACAGCTGTGGGAACATAGGCACGCTCCCACTAACACACCAGTCACAGCGTTCCAAATAGGAAGTGATCATGGTTGCGCTTCAGGCTCCATCGACTCTGACAATAATTCACTTTACAAAAAAAATTGTCACTCCTCTCTCTGTAACTACTGGAGTGAGCCTCGTAATTTTTTTATTTCGCTATTTTGTCCCTAAATCAAGATATGAACATTAATAACAGACAAATCAGGCACCTTCTCTCGCTGAAGTCACTCCCACTAACATTAGTAACAAGTTTGATTGACAGCGTTGCTAGGGCCCGTTCCCTGCTAAATCAGAGGTGAGAGCAGGAAGGTGCGTTACCTTCAACAGTCTCACACCCGATTGGCTCTTTGGCTGCTATGACACTAGCAGTGGGATTCCAAAAATGAAACTCGGCTACAAATTGTCCTCTATAACCTCCAGCTTCACTGAGCCTCATTTGACTGGAGTTGAACGCTATTAGTCTGCATCTTTATACAATCTATGATCTGTATAAAATATAAAATCTACAAGAAATGGCCCAAAAATCCTACCTGTTTTGACGTAGTACTTCTCAGTGATGTTGCAGGGCAGAGCACTTTCTTCAATGCTGGTGCTGGACGGTGGTTCTGTGGTCGTGGTTGAAGGAGGAGTAGTTTGAGTAAAGAGAGGAGTAGTAGGAGCTTGTGTTGTAGTAGTAGTAGATGGTGTAGTCGTCGTCGAAGTAGTAGTAGTAGTAGTAGTAGTGGCAATGGTTGTGGAAGTAGTCGTAGGTGGCTCAGTGGTTGTAGTAGTTGCTGGTGTAGTAGTAGTTGTAGCTATAGTAGTTGTGGTAGTAGTTGTTGGGACAGGGGTAGTAGTAGTAGTGGGGACCGGTGTAGTTGTTGTAGTGATGGTGGTGCTAGATTCAGTGGTAGTAGTGGTCAGCTTGAGAGTAGTACTTGGTGCTTCAGTTTTAGCTGTGGTTGTATCTAAAGTGCTTGATGTAACATTTGTAGTTTCCTCAAAATCAGTCACAACCATAGTACTAGTCGAAGGCGTTGTCATGGAAGCCGTCGTCAAAAGTTGCCCATCACTTGTCACAGCGTCAATTGCAGCTGAAGTAGTAATATTGGATGCAGTTGTTGATGTAGGTGTTGGAGTTAAAGCTTGCGTTGTCATAGTACTAATTGTCATAGAGATATTTGGTGTGGTAGTAGTAGTAATCATAGTCGTCTGAGAGTCTGTGGAGGTGGTTTTTGGTTTGGCCGGTGCCGTTGTGTTCCATTGGTATGTGGAGAAGGGGCTGGTGACATTAGCGGGCAGAGTGAGGTCATGGTCACCCACTGTGGACAGGAGAGACTCTGGGACAGTGGGGAGGTCCCAGGCTGGCAGACTGTCCACTGAATCATCTGAGAAAATAGATCAACATATTTTACAAATTAACTAAAAGTAGTATAGTACAGTTGTCAATAGAAATAGATAATCTTTGTCTGATTAGTATGTATGCTCTTTTTATTGTCATAATCAAGACAAAATGAGTTATCAATTAAAGCTTAATTTGAACTTTTTTGTTATTTTTTTATTACTTTAAACTTAACAAAAGCCTAAAACATAAGATAAACATACGCTACCAGTCAAAAGTTTTAGAAAACCACACTTTTTCCAGTTTTTTACTGTTTATTGTTGACCAAAGTGTATTCTAAACTTTTGATTGATGAAAATGGCATGCTTTTTACAATAGAAATCATATTCATATTCTTCAGAAAGTTCTTCCCACATCTACAGCAGAAGTTCCCATAAATGTGTGGCACTTGTAGGTTGCTTCACTCTTCTGTCCAGTTCATCCCAAAACCAGCTCGATGGGGTTTAAGTCTGGAGACTGTGCTGGACACTCCATGTTTTCAAGCTCACCATCTTGTTCTTTTTTCCTGAGGTAGTTTTGGCAGAGCTTGGACTTGTGTTTTGTTATCTTTTATCTTTTTTTTTAACCTCTGACTGTTCACTAATTATCTCAGTACCATTTCAAGCTCTTCATTGGACTTGCACGACTTGAATTGCAATAAATAACTGGAAAAGTTAGGGTGTTCTAAAACTTTTGAATGGTAGTGTAACTACATAGTTTAAATTGCATAATATTTTGACTGTAGTGTGATCCTGACTTTTTATAGGCATAAATGATAAATGAAGAAGTATAGAGAAGATTAGGATGTACGGTCAAACTGAAAATACACAAAAGAAGATAAAGTGTTCTATCTTTGCATAAGAAATGAAAATCTGAATTCAGTGCACAAACCCCGTCTTCTGACTGAACATTGACATAAGTGGAGGTCGATGAGAGGAGGCAGTGCAAATGTAATCTATCTCCTCAAACTGAAAAGAAGCCAGATTCACCTCATAATACCTTAGGCTGATTTACAAGTGCTTTAATTTAGCTGAAACTAGCCTGGGCTGCCTTTTATTTGAAATACTGAGAAAAACTTATTATTTAAAATTGGGAGAAAATATGAGAAATGCATGATTGCTTAGATTTATGGTTCCTCATCAATTTCAAATACATTATAATAAATGAAACAATATAGCACCAAATTTGTTCAGTGCATCAAGGAGAATGATCTAGAGCTATCATACCCAGAGTGAAGCTGCTGTTGCTCTGAGAGGAGTTGTTGGCACTCTCTGGAGGGGACGTCTGGGTGCTCTGGGTTATACTGGCTGTGCTTGTGCTGGTGACAGGAGGAGAGCTGGAGGTGGTGGGAGCTTTTGTTGTAGTTGTGGAAGAGGAGGAAGAGGAGGACCTGGATGAAGATAAAGAGGAGCTTTTGGTCCAAGCTGCTTTTGATAACAGCCCCAGAGGTTTGGCCTCCACTGGGGCCTGCAGCTCGCCTGTGCCTGCCAACATGCTGATCATTGACGAAAACGAAGCCTTTTCTCTCAAACCCTGTCCGTGTGTGGACCGCCCCAGCCATGAGTCCTGGGATAAGCCTGCATCCACAGGTCTCCACTCAGCTCCCACTTCAGTCCAGCTCCGAGCCCCGGTCAAAGTCCCGGATTCTGCAATGACTTTCCCATCAGCCCCTGAGCGCACCTCTTCCTCAGTCTCAGTCCACACGGCTGTTTTGGCCTCAGAGAACACTTTGAGCTCAGCATCTGCTCCATCCATCACAGGTTTGTCTGCAGTCCCCAGTGCACCAGAGAGGTTGGAGGGCACTGTCTGCTCCCGGGGCATCACCAGCCTCATTGACTCCTGTCGGCTTGGGCCAGCTGCACCAAACACACAGAGGGAGCACAGTATTAGAGACCAAAAGGCACAAACACACTCACAGTTTAATTGGTAGTTCTGGGCAAGAAAAAAATGTGACCAATCTGTGAGTCATCTGTCCCACAGGCTGGACCAAGCGTTCTATTTCTAACTCTTTATAAAACACACTTGAGTGCACAGTGACACTGCTAAAGCTGCGATCATTAGTCCTTATAATGCCACCACAACTGTCCAACTGCACGAGATTGACTGGAAAAGTGCCGGGCTCATTCAGATTTATGTGTCCTGCCACTCGGATACATTTACGCAGCACTAGAAATGATGACAAATCGCAGAGGAAGCCAAAATAAGGAGTTTTAAGGCAGGTTATGTTTTGACACTTCAGTTTAATTGACATTTAAGTATTTTCAGGATGTACAGAGCTTGTCTAAGTTATCTATGAGAATAAAATGTCCGAACTCACAATATGACAGGCAATCAAAAAGTGCAGCCCTTTTTTACATTTTATTCAAATTTGAACAATAAATGATTTCAGTACAGCAGTAAATTCAGTATTTTTCTACACTTTTGATGCAATACAGATGTTCAAACTTAAAGGTGTTTTGTGTAACATTTTTGTTGGAGGGTCTGTCACCTGCTTGTTTGTATGGATATGTCATTGTTCTGCCTGGAATGTCCAACAGTATGACATTAAACAGCTCTGCTTTACATTTATTCAATTACAGGTGGTTTTATAGCTCAAAAATACCTAAAAAAAATTTTTTTTAAAAAGCATGCATTCTGACTGCAAATGGGATTGCCTCTTCACAGATCTGACATGTATCTTGGTCTGGAAAGATTATTAATGCCATACTGTGAAACATTCCAACACAAAGCAATAACATTTCCATGGAGAAAAGCATGTGACGGACCCTCCACCAGAAAGGTTACACAATGCCTCTTTATTCAGTAAAATATCTCACACAATATTAAAATAAAATGAGAAATAACAAGGAAGATAAAGATTTTTCAGCAAATTCCCAGTTTTTCACACTCTTTTTACTACAGCGGATTAAATTAAATCTCACTGCGGTGGGGAAAATAGTAATAAAGGCAAAAGTAGGTCGCTCATGTTTTAAATCAGGGAATTAATTGAAATATTCCAGAGTGGGCAAATTAGGACACACATCCACACAGCCTCATCAGCAGTGATTTCACAGATATTAATCTGATTTGGCTCAGACACAATTTGACATGGATTTCTCATTCCTAGAGCCTCCACACCATACTTTGCTCCTGGTAATAATCTAATATTAGAAGATAGTGGTGCTATCTTGAAGAAGATTGAAGTCGTCATGTTTAATAATCAGAGACTGTATATATATATATATATATATATATATATATATATATATATATATATATATATATGGACATCGCTAACCCACTAGTCGCAGAGTCCCAAATAGGAAGTGTGCATGGGGGCGCTTCAGGCTCCATCCGCTCTGACTCCAACTGACTTTATATTGAAACATTGTCACACCTCTCTGTAACTGTTGCTGTGGGGTTCGTCATTTTAGTCTAAAAATGTTTGTATTAACCTACTCTGCATGATCCCAGTGTTTTTATTTTGCTATTTTACCCGTAAATAAATATGTTTTCCTAATCTGGCTCCAAATCCACCCCATAAGAGCGAGCATTATGAGTTTCATTTGACTGAAGTGGACCGTTATGGGTGATGTCACACTCTTTTTTATCAGGGGTGTGCAAAAATACTGAAACATCAATATATTGAATCGTTTAATGTGATGATACAGTATCAGTATCGGAGACTGCTGTATCGATATATCACCAAGAGTATTTTTTTTGCTATATTTTACTAAATTGTTGACATTTGACATTTTCACTGTTTTGATGATTAAAATGTTTGTGTTTCATATTAACTTTGCACAAGAAGTGGTTCAACTAAATTTTTATTATCACAGCAATTATTTTTGTTTCAACCGTATCAAACTGATTTGAAATAAACCAAAAATGCACTGTATCGAGATATGTATCGTATTGTTGCCTATGTATCGAGGTATGTATCGTAACGGCAACTTCTTAATGATACCCAGCCCAATTCTTTATACACTCTATGTTAATACTGTGACAAAAGGTTAAATTGTGGTGTATTTGAAAGTATGAAAACTTGAAGTTATGGTTTATAAAAATAACTACATCTAATTACAAAGCTCTGGAGAATGGTGTCTGATTGCGGTTTTGTCCAAAGATATTAAAGGGTCACTGGTACGTCATCATTGTGGTATAATTTACTAAAGAGGTTTAAGAAAAGCCAACCTGAATGAGGCCAAAGTCTAAGAGCACAACAAATGAGCAGATGTTATATGTCTGTCATGTATCCGACTGGCCACTGAGGTTTCCATTCTCTGCCTCTTCTCATCTCCCACCAAAGCAGGTCCCTTTAACTCCAAGCCTATTACGCAGTTGAACAGCCTATGTGAAAAACTTATGAGCTTTGTGAAGGCTTCAGAAAAGATGAGGACAGTTCCCTGAATGGAGATAAATGCTGAAACTAAATGCTTTGACTGCATGCAATATTTCTAAGTGAGTCATTTCCCTTTCCAAAACAGACTAACAAAATGATTCCTTTCCTTTGTGCTTTTGAGAAGAGTTCCTTCACAACAATAGACTTGCTTTTCATATTAGTCCAATCATTTTGTGCTTTTGACAGCACGATAAACCTCCATATCTGAAAACTAAAAGCAGCTCCAGATAATAAACATGTGGCGAGGCATTTAAGTTTGTGGTAAATATGAAATAATTCAGAGGTAAATGCTCTATTGGTTAAGCTTTAATGGTTCTATATTACGCAAAATTAACTCTTGTGAGCTTTAAGTCATGTTGTAATGTTATTACCCCTTCAAAAACATACACAGCTGTTCAGTGGAGACTGGCAATTCCAGGGTTGAATTATCCAAATGATTCTAGTAAAGGTGCATGGAGTGTAAAAACACAGTGGAGCACTTCCTGTATTATCACATGACATCTGTTTGAGAGAAGGCCTAAACCTAAATATGCAGGGTTTATGTGT